TTCTTCGGCCAAGCGATATCTCAGCAGCATGGTAACAACCTTTGCGCGCCCCTGAATTCCACGCACGAGCATGTGAAATTTTTGGGGGGAACATTTCTGACTTGAGGGCCAGGTAAACAAGGAAGCTAAAGTTTCGGGAAGATGTCCTCTTCCGTATGTGATCTAAAGATTTTGAATTCCCAAGTATGCCTGCTCTTCTTCGAATTCTTAAATTCCTAAGATTATCAAGATTTCAAATTCCCAAGTTCCTAAATGCGCCTGGCTTTCGGGTACAGGAAATTTGCCAGGAAAATTGCTGAGTCGAAAGCAGAACAGTTAAGTCATTTTCCGTGAACGGACTGTGACCGGAAATTATTTTCCTTCATGCAAAATTTACGGTAATGAGTGCGCAATTCGGATGTAGAGAAGCAATCATCCAGATAGAGAAAGGCCTGGTTTCTTCAAGTTTACCTTAAAAACGCACGGGCGCACCAGCAATCCTATAGACGCAGCCTAGATTTTAAATAACATTTACCCTTCCACTGGATTTTTTGTTTTTTATGCGTTTCTGCATATTCATCCATATGAAACCCAGGCTGGAACGCACCAGGCTCTCCGGTGCGATTGTGCGTTTTTGCACTAAACTCGCAGACTGCTATTAGCAGAAATGACCTAGCAGTTGGGCTTAATATTGGCCGTGCTTTGATCCTTACTGGCATGCAGGAGGAAGGGCATCAGTTGTGATGAAGGTGGTGCATTATAGAGCCGCACGGACATCCAGGCGCATGATTGCCTGTTTTTGCATGAAATCCGGTCGTTTTTTCGGTAAATACTCGCTTTGTGAAAAAATGACAAATGCAAATTTTTCGAAAAAATGCAAATTTCCAGTTCACTAAAAATTGAAAGTATTGCTCGAACGGCCGTTTGTCAAATAATCCATGTTCATTTGCATATACATTGGCGGTTCAGGTCCGAGTTGCTGACGATTTTTGGGTTCAGGAGCTGCTTGAGGCTGTGGTTGGGGGAGCTAGAGGCTGGGTTTAAAATTTTTATCTCGCACGTACATAGAGAATATCCCTGCAAAGCTTCAGCTTTCTACGTTGTCTAGTTCGCGAAATGGTTTCCCGCCAACATATTTCTTTGGGGTCCCGTATGCGGGGTTTAGGCGCGTATGGGAAAAGATCTTAAAACGGGAGGGTGAAACACGA